TTATTATTATTATTATTATTATTATTATTATTACATTGTTCAAAAGTGAATGTTGTTTTTTATTGAACTATAACGAAGCCCAAAAGTTGTGATCTAAGACATCGTACTGGAAATAAAAGTTTGCTTTTCGTCACTCACATTTCTTTAGTAAGTTATTACGTTTGTTGCAACGCTCTGTTGAGTTGGGTACGATCTTATTATTTTCATGTGTACTTCCAGTTATGTAACGACGAACAGATTAAAAAAAAACTTGTTCACATTACACTGTAACAATTTAAAGCCTAGTTTTGACAAGGTGTGCAGGAAACCGTTCCCCATTTTTATCGTCTAGGCCTACACTTCTTTTTGGTAATATATTATGTTGGCGCTGTTACACTCTTAGTATTTGATATAATCCATTTATCTCTAGTTGTAATGACCAACATATCATTTTAAAACTACTTGAGTCAGCATATTTATAATACAAATTAATGTCCACACATTTAATACGAACCTAGCGTGATCTGAAATTGTTCAAACAGCGATGTATAATTATGATTTGTCATCCCAATTTCTTCAATGGGTTATTATCTGTTGGTTGCTACACTCTCACTTAGGTTTCATATAATCTATTTATTTTGTGTATAATATAGCCTAGTTGTGATCTAAAATGGTGATAAGAGCTTTACAATTTTGTCATCCTTATTTCTTTAGTATATTATTTTTGTGTGCTGGTTGCTACATTCTCGTTGTTGGATAGTATTCATTTACTTTGGTATTTTATCTAGTTGTAACGACCAAGTGAATTCGTATGCAATTTTACAAGGAACTGTTTCGAATATAATAGATCTAATCACGCATAGTTGTGATCTGAGATGCTTGAAACAGCCCTATGATTCTATGTTACGTTAGTTGTTAGACACGCAACGCTGGATAATCCTTTTTTTTGTGATACCTAGTTGCAACAACCATGCAGATCATTAAAAAGACAAACATTAAAGGCCTAGGTCTCGAATTTTATAAGTAACTTTGCAAATCTTAAGCTGTAACCGAGGGTAATCCTGAAAGTCAAAGGTACTAAGGACAGATGCACAACGAAAGGAGCAGGTCACAATAAAAGGAAAGGCCCTAGAAAACGTTGAATCCTTCTGTT